GCTTCATTGTAATAGACCACATTTTTTTATTGCGTCGAAACAACGAAAAGTCAAGTTTAGCAGAATGTCGAGTTCGTTCACGTGCCGTTTATAGCATTTCATAGTGTTCGTAGACACGGCGAATTTAGTGATTCTTCAAATATTATGTAGATTGTCTCAATTTTACCTCCAACCTTTATACTACAGTAACCTTATTATAAAAGTAGTAATTTGGATTTGAGTCACACAACCAAAAACATTATTTTTGTGTGCTACTAAAAACCAGGTTGTTTGAGTATATAAACCGGGTTTTGTACAACCCGGTTTATATACTCAAACAACCTGGTTTTTAGACACCAAAACCAGGTTTTGCCAAGATACCAAACCAGGTTTTTTTTACTTGATAGTAATTGGTTGCTATGACCCATAGACTCTACATTTATCCTCAATAAAAAATCAAAATGCAGATGCGTCGTCACCCGTAAGGACTAAGATGGAATGCCTCTTTTCCAGTAAAATGGGTCTCCGGTTCTCTGCACTCACCGTACGAAACACAGCAGTGTCAAGCTGCCATTTTACGCTGGTATTCTGTGAGAGCGTGGTCCTTCCCCGGTCGAACCGACCCAGTCGTGCCACAACTATACTACTAATATAGCTGCAGCATGGCTCTACCACGTAAAAACCACGTAAAGGTTGTACCAGAATATAGAAATCCCTAATAAATTCGCTTAAATACTAAAATTTAAGAACTATTTAAATTTTTAATGTACTGTTTAAAAGAAGAAATTTTAATATATCTTACTATGCGCAATTTTACATCGATCGCAAATCGTAATAAGAACTTGTCGTTTATATTCCAACTGTGATAGCTTCATAGTTTTTATTGATTTACTGAAAGCTGTAACGACTGACACCCATCTTCCGCAGTGTAATAATGGACTCACGCTTGCAACGTACTTTCTGCGGGAAACGTTTGCCTAATAGGCAGTAACTTGATACATAAAGCCGAAGGCTCTGCTCCGTGGCGCAGTGGCTTAGCAATGAGTCACAACGCTAAGGGCCGCGGGTTCGAATCCTGCACGGAACAAGTATTTGTATGGCCTACAAATATTTGTTCCGGGTCTGGATGTTTGTCCTCGTGCGATTTATGTTTATAAACTGCCTCCACGACACAGGAGAAAATCCTAGTGTGGGGGTAACGTTTTTAAAAAAAAAAAAATAGAACTTTTTTAAGGGGCCGTAACTTATTTTGTGTTTCATCGTTTTATAAATTCATTCCTGTTTTTATTCACTTGCGAAAACCTACCATATATTTTCTTACCTACCTAATATTTACGAAATACTTACTTCTTACTTTAACTAATTAAAATTATAAAAAAATAATAAAATTAACAATTAATTAATAATAATAACTAATAGCGCATCACCATTGAACCGCTTCATCTATGTATCAGTATCTTTAAAATACCTGTTTAGGCGCGCTCTGTAACTCACTTATAAATACCAATACCCTAAGCTTTAGCTTGGATAGGGTCTATTAATGTGTCTTTTTTTTTTAGATTTAAAAATTCTTCTTTCTGACATTGTTGTAGATCTGCTTGATAGCATATAAATAACCCCCCCCCCCCCGCCCAATTAAGCCAGCTATTTAATATTACAGATAGACACCAATTACATTAATATATGTACAGTAGAACGCCGATTATCTGAATTAATTGGGACCGGGGTCGATTCGAATAATCGGACATAAACCGGTATGTAATATAGAAAAACGAACTGTCACACATAGAATAAACTTTATTAAGTTTATAAGTGGTTTTACACTTTAAAGTTTTATAAAGTGTAAAACCAGCTACACCCATCAGTACTTTCCAACGCAGTCACAAAACTAAAATTTTTTCACTCTTATTTTTAATATCAGTTAACCAAGTACTGTATAAGGCTGGATTTAGTGCTCGACCGACGGTCAGCAGGTAGCGTACGCGCTGACGGTACGTCCTGATCGTCGGTCGAGGCCAAGCGTTTAGTGCTTAATTGACGCCAAGCTTTGTTAAATCATGTGCACCTAATAATTGTAGACCGTTTAATTGAAGATATTGTTCTTTATATTCGAATTTTTTTTAATAGGATAGGGTGAAAAACGAGCACGCGGTCCACCTGATGGTAAGTGGTTTCTGTGGCCCATAGACATCTACATCTATCCTCGCTTGCGAATCAAAATGCAGATGTGTTGTCACCCGTGAGGACTAAGATGGAATGCGTCTTTTCCAGTAAAAAGGGTCTCCGGTTCTCTACACTCACCATACGAAACACAGCAGTTTTAAGCTGCTATTTTACGCTAGTATTCTGTGAGAGCGTGGTCCTTCCCCGATCGAGCCGACCCATTCGTGCTACAACTATACTACTAATATAGCTGCAGCATGGCTCTACCACGTACAAATTGCGAGAGCAATGTCCATGTATCATGTTCATTTTTGTTCACGATAATGCACACTCGCGTACGGTCGCTCACTCTGTCAGCGTCGCACTGAACGCACGCATGTACCGCCATAGCGCGTCAGTCAACCGACGTGCGCCGGACCGACGAGCTCGACCGACGGTCCTCGTACGCGCGACATAGCCGTACGCTCGTAGTACTTCATCAGCGCTGCACTGTTAGCCGTTAATAGGTTTTCATTGATATAGCTACGCTCAACCGATGTCAGCGCTCACCGTCGATCGAGCACTAAATCCAGCCTAAGTAATAATGTAAGTAATGTTACTTACTGTACTTGGTTATAATTTTTATATTACGCTTAGGACCGATTCGGATAATCGGCGTTCTACTGTACCTACATATAGATTAATTGATGAACTTGTAAAAGCGATGAAAAGTCACGTGCAATGAAAATATGTACGTGTAATGATAAAAATACGTAGCATTCTCTCAACGAAAACCGAAGTCAGTTTTTTTTAATAAATCAAATATTTTGGCAATGTTCCCAATTTGAGAGCATTTGAGAGCGGATATAGTCCAACGGTTACCTGGTTCTGTGATTATACTCAGTGACGAATTTAAATTGGTGAATTTATTTATATATAGAATCAGCGTTGAACTTCCCAATTACTTTAAGCGGCGTAGCTCTCGTTTTAAATTTAATATCTACGCGAGAACGGGGTTCGATCCACACCGCGCCGGCACCTATGAAATTTGTAATTGCAATTTTTTAAGTGCTGATTTACCACGTGCTCGGGGGTGAAGGAAAACATCGTGAGCCTTTCCTTGCCCTTTTTTTATAGGATAAGGGTGACAAACGAGCACACAGTCCACCTGATGGTAAGTGGTTGCCGCGGCCCATAGACATCTACATCTATCCTCTGTTAATACTAAGCACTCAGAAAAGTTCCTTAATCTCTCTTCACATTCTAAGGGCGACTCGTTTAAGAACGTCATTTCACAAAAATGTAATATATTTGCATTGGTGTAGGTGTTGAAACAACTCGTCGAGCTTCTTCCAGTTCAGATGCCTTTAAGTATCTCCAATCCAGTCTAGTCCAATATTTTAAACAGCCAGCGATGTCGTAAGGAAAGTGTCGGCATTCAACTAAATGCCTAAAAATACCTTTTAGCCAAATTAGAATGACGCGGATTACATTCTATATTTTTACTAGATGGTAGGACCCCCTTTCTGCCTGCGGGTCTGTAGTACCGTACTTGCGTAGGTACCACTTTCTTAACTTATTCTGCCCCAAACAGCAGTGCCTGCAACGCTGTGTTTCGGACATAGAGAGCCAGCATAATTAGAGCCCGTGAAGCATTACATTTTGGTTTTTAGAGGCGACAAAGAGCTTATCTTGTTTGAAATTTGCTGCAGGTGACTGTGAACCGCGGTTGCCACTTACAATAAGGTAGCCTATCCCTTTTTAAAAAAAAAAATATTTCTATAATGGAAAAGATCAATGTCGGACAGTGGACTATCACGAATTGTTAAAGAAGAAAAAGTATATTATTGTATATCAAACACCGCTGGAAGAATGAATATTCATAAGAGAATATTTATTACGATTATTTAGCTCATAGCTCCATGAGAATTATCAATTCCATGAAGAAGTGTAACAATGTCCTACTAGTATACAATTTAATTTTTACACGAAGCCCCTAATAATTTACCGACAAACTGTATTTTATTATTTTATTTAAGTATTTACACAAACCAATTTAAGGCATATTCGAATTCCCCACTCGCTGGCGCCCTAACTCATACCTACATAGCTACATACTAGTAATTTTACGTTCCTAGTAAAATTATCCTTAAATATCTAGAATCTCCAATGTACCTATTGTAGTGTTTGAATTACTAAGATCTAAAAGGTGTCATTTTTATCGCTCACTGACTCACTTATCAAAAACCTTAGTCACTTCTAGGTTATTTAGTAACTTGAAACTTGATATCAAGGCATTATAACTAAACTAGAATTTATCGATAATTCGTTGTCGATAAAGTTTATGGTGTGTTCAGTTTCAATTATTGTACATAAAGCTAACCGCACTAATAAATTTGTCGACATTTATATCTTATGTTTTAAATTATAAAAGGCGACAGCAAAGCGTAAACGACAAAAAAGTCTTTGGTGGACAAGTATTTATTTAGATTAATAGAGGAATAAAGCTTTGATTATCAAAAATTAATGATATCCCACCAAATACATGAATGTGAAAAGGGCGCCGATAAGAATCTAGCACCAAGCCGTTCCAAGAACGTTGTACGTTATTATAGATAGTACGATTTAAGCAACTGCTGTGGACTGATTTTTATTTTAACGGGAACATTACACTTTGAATGAAATTAGTTTCATTTAATTTCTATGGAGCTTGTCGCTTATTCAGATCTCAACTTTGTTCTGTCTGCGAAACCAACAAGCCGTCAAGTTCTTTGCACCGAACTTGCGTCCATTTCACATTTATGTTTTTTGTGGGATAGGTCTTCATTAATTAATTTCCATTGTAAGTGATCATTGTAACAGAAACAGAAACTACTAACCTGTGGACAATCTCCTATATAATGTCCTTTCTTGAAACACAAGTGGCACATGTAAGCCGGAGGCGGAGGCCGAGGTGGTCTTCGAAGCGACAGCGCGGCCAGTTGCTCGGCGAGGGAGCTCGTGTCGTCCGCTGGAGGAGGGGCGGAGCCCGGCGCAGCAGTCGGCAGCGGACCCCATACTGATCCTGGCACCCACTGGAAGAAGTTTAGTAACGTAGTTGAGTTATAACAGTCATTTACCTATACATATAAATAAAATTGATGCGTCTGTATGCAATATCGCAATAAGGTTTTTATTGAGCTGAGGGAATTATTTGCATGCCAACATGAATAATCATTTTTAAAAACTGGCTGTCTGTCTGTCTGTGCGTACTAATCTTCGCAGTGGCTGAATCAATGCCAGGAGTTATCTATATTTTTTAGCTATATTTTATTGTAAAAACGCAAAGATTTTTTAGAAGTTGATATTATGAATGGCCTTTGGTTACCTTAAATTTATTTAAGGCACTCAAAGGCATTATATTATATATTATTAATAATCCTACCCAGACAAAACCGGGGCGGGTCACTAGTTAATTGTCGGCGTAAGAGATTCCCTCACTCCCATTTAATCCCGTGGGTGTCGTAAGGTCTTAGTTTGGCGAGATAATTACTGTGATAATGTACCCAAGTTTCTTGGAATAAATAAATAAAAAAGAAGAAAATGTTGGTAAAAATTATCTTGCGTACATCTGCTCGATAAAATAAAATGATGTGTCTTACCTAGTTTGAAGAGCACCTCCAGCCCTCCCTCAATTATGTGTACTATCTCCGTCATCACTAATCCCAGCACCACTACTCCCAACACCACTACACTAAGAAAGACACGCACCACTTACGACAATACGACACGTGTTTCGCCTCGTGTAGAGGGACGGCGGGAGTTGCTCTTCAAACTAGGTAAGACACATCATTTTATTTTATTGAGCGGATGTACGCAAGTTAATATATACCAACTTTTATATAATGGATTTCCGCAAAGTAATGCCTGATTCTATTAATTATACTGAATAAAAACCGGCCAAGTGCGAGTCGGACTCGCACACCGAGGGTTCCGAACAAATCTGTAGGTATATAAGTTTAAAATTATTAAAAATATTTTTATTATATGATGTAACTAAAAATTTATGCTTTTCGCAATTTTTCCTTTTTCTGTGCTATAATACGTTGCTTCGTACCAAATTTCAAGATTCTGAGTTCACGGGAAGTACCCTGTAGGTTTTGATTCCCTTGCGAATTTCAAAAATTTGCGGCATAAACGGCTATATCTTTTGATTGCGTTTGCTTAGAAGTTTTATTTTTTCACAGCTCCAAGGTACAGTAGACTTGAGTATTTGATATAAATTTCAGCTTGATACCTCCACGCGTTCTTGAGAAATAGGGTCTTGACAGACAGACAGACGGACATCAAAGTGATCCTATAAGGGTTCCGTTTTTTCTGTTTTTCTTGAGGTACGGAACCCTATCGTTTTCACCAAACGTAAAATGCGCAGACGGGCAATCTTATAATAATATAAAATAAAATATAATCAATCTGCCTGCCCAGCGTGAGAATTTTAGTAAAGGAGACTCCTGTTCTGATCAAGAGAAGTCATAATTTAAAAGAAGAAGAAGAAGACTCCTGTTCTTCCTAAGAGTTCGTCTGGTTAGGTACCACCCTGTCACCTATTTCTGTCGCCAAACAGCAGTACTTGCACTGCTGTGTTTCGGTCTCAAGCGTTTAAAGACCCAGTATATAATACAGGTTATAAAACATTCTTCCTCAGTCCCTAGAGGTGACAACACATCTGTAGCAGTCTTTGTTTGAAGTTCGTTCCAGGTGTCTATGGGCTGCAGTAGCTATTTACTATACAGTGTACTACCATTACAAATGAATAATAAGTCAGCTCTACCGGGGTATGACCACGATTTCACAGAATACCAGCGGGAAATAAAAACTTTCTGAAGTATAATCTACTCTTCTAATTTAGTTATTTTGAATGTGTTATTTATACAAATAAATAAAATTTAAGAAATAACAGCTTTTTACTAAATGTATATGAAAGTATATACGGTATTTATAACAAAAACACATTTGTTTTTTAATTTTGTCTCTCTGTCTGTTTGTTCCGGCTAATCTCCGAAACGGCTGGACCGATTTCGACGGTACGTTCACTAGGAGATAGCTGATGTTACAAGAAGTAACTTAGGCTGCTTATATTTTAGAAAAAGAATTAGGGTTCCGCGCAACATAATTAAAACTCTAAATTACACGCGGGCGAAGTCGTGGGGAACAGCTAGTAGCAGTAGTAATAAATGTATTCTCTTTAATTCTTCGAAGTCGGCTTTTACTCTTTGGGTGAATATACGCTATTTGAATTCCAACGGTCCATAGACAAATTTTATGTTAAAAATAATATATTATTGTTACTGTATGCTAAAGCAATAAAGAATATCGTCTATTATTTGGCCCACACAGTCAATTCACAATAATTGTTTAATTTAAGGCATTAATAGCTTAAAATAATTATAAATATATACTCCCCTGGCCTCCCCCATTACTAGATTGTATAATTTTATGGCCATATGTATTATATACTTAAGCCATTATGTTTTCTTTTAACATGATCATACGCCTAAATAAACATCGAAACATATTTTATCAAAATACATTGCAAAAATATTTATTAATATTAAAAAAATATATCTTATTTTCACGTGCCGTTACAATTATGTCACCTCACCTGGCGAAACGGAAAGACTAAAAATTTGACATAAAACCGCTAAAGTATGTTTTCGAGCTTGAACTACACGCGTAGTACAGTGTGAAGTTCGAAGTAAGCTAACGGTGATGAGCAAAACTCAAATAATATTGCGTCAGTTTTGGATTCACTGTAAGAAAGCGCGTTTGTGCCAGTCGTTGGAGTATTTCCCTTGGTAAGTATACGTTTTTGTATTTTGTCGTTACGAAATTGTAAATTTGCACAATGCAATGTTTATTTTGTGTAGATGTCATGTTTTACTTTAAACTGTGGTTAGAAAAACAAGTGATGTTGTTTTTGTAGGTTGTGTGTGATTTTGTCACTTCTCTGGCATATTTCATGTCAAGGGAAATACAATGGTTCCAGGGTGTGATAAAATTTTATTTCGTTAATATTTAATCTTATAACGCTTAAATTTATTTGTTCTATGTACCATGATATCATGGCGAATGTTAAAAAGAAGCAAACAAGGGAGATGAGAATCAAGATGAAAAATTACGCTCCCAAATAATTAAAAATGATCCGGTGAAAAGTGCTGAATAATAAGAAAAAGAAAAGCGGAAATATAAAAAAAGGAAAAGGGACAAACTAAGAGCATTAATGACATGATTGAAATGGAACAAATAGCTGTTAGAATAATACGGAGAGAGAAGACTATAAAGTTACACTCTACCAGAAACTATCAAGTAACACCACCGTCGTCTGATAATGAAAACCACCCTCCACTTTCACAAAGCAATTTGACTCTGGCTGCTAAAAGACGATCAGAAAGTCAGCGTTAAGTACAAAATAAAGTTATAAAAAAAACAAAAATATGAAATTACGTCAAAAACTACATTAGTAACAAAACAAACGAAGGCGCATCGAAAAATAGAACAAGGAGCTCCAAGTGATATCGGAGAGACATGTAAACGAACCCCTGACAAAGTTGTCGCTTCAGGAACTAACATACACATACACATACATACAAGATTTTGCTAAGGAATTTGAAAAAAATTGCCCCAGCATTCATATTTTTGTGATATACGAAAAAGAAATTGATTTACAAATGAAGATAATTGAAGATAATCGACCGAACATTAAACCTTTTGCTGGTACAATAAAAGTACATCAAGTCCGAGGAACCTTTATGAGCAGTACGTAGTACATCAAGAGCTTCAGTTGCTTTGGTAGCAACTTTTGCCCTCACTTCCACTTAGACGACATTAAATACACCCAAAATGATAAAACCAAATTGCATGTTGCTGCAGTATACACCGATTCTGAGGAAATCGTGCGAAACAAAATGATTCCACTAACATGTACTAATCTGATTAATACTATAGACAATGAAGACACGGCTATGATTTTTTTATAGGATAATGTTCCGCTGTTTTACGCTGGTATTCTATGAGAGCGTGGTCTTTCCCCAGTCGAGCCGACCCATTTGTGCTAACTATACTACTAATATAGCTGCAGCATGGCTCTACCACGTATAAAACGTGGTAGAGCGTATGATTGTCAAGAACGGTGAATTTATACTTGTGGAATACCATAGTAATAATAAAAAATATAGGTATGCTGGCGCACGTTTGTCAGATTTTGATGAAGAAGAAGGATAAATCAGGGTTACTTTTCTAAAGATCTCCAATAAAATGTTGCTCTTTTTAGAATATCTGTCTGATGTTAAATGGGAACAGATCTTGACCATACTACCAGTGCCAAATATACTTATGAAAGGTAACAGATTATTCTACAAGTTTCCAGAGCCAGTTGATTTATTTGAAAAGTAAATTGTTGATTGTTTTGTATTAAAGTAAAATATATTAATTTAGACGAAATTATCTTCTTTGCAATAAATGAGTTTTCATTTATACTGTGCACTGATAATTTTTAAGTTTAATTGTTTAGATAGCCTCGATAGTGATAGGTGTTTCACTAGATAGTACTACTATTTTTTGTTGCGAAGTTTATTTTTTTTTATTTAGAAGTTATATTTAGATTCGCCTAAAACATTGCTTTAAGTTTTTGAACATTTTATAATTAAAATTGTCAAATACCATGTGCTGTAATTTTTATATTAGATAATTACTTCAAATCTCAGATGAGACTGATACGTAGAAAACATTAATTTCATTATTTGATTCGGGCAATTGAAACTTAAGCATCAACAAACCATTAATATTAAAAATTAATTTGTTGAAAGAAGCTGAAAAAACTGTTAACATGTATCTAATATATTAAAAATATCTAGACTATAATTTATATGTATTTTATTCAATATTATTCCCCTTTTTTAGGTAATAATTAATGGATTGTTCACTACCCTGCATTAATTTGTCACTACTCTGCCAGTAGTGTCACTCCCCTGATAACACATTTTCCCCTGGTGCTTATAAAATTCAAAAAAAATGGAAAAATCTTCTGGCCCGTAAC